ACGGCAAGGCCATATCAATATGGTGTTACGGCAGGGTTGCTTACAGAAAGAATTGTATTTTTGTATTTTTTCTCGTGAGTGCCAGAAATCAGAATTATTGCTTGATCATCGTGCAGCGACGCAGGGCGCCGAACGGTGGGTGGTAGGCCGTCTGCAGTCTGTGCGGATGGGACGGCCGCCCAGTTGGTCGGGTCTCTGCGCGCCACTGGACGTTTCTTGCTTGCAGTTTCCACCAGCTGCACGCGCATTCATTTACACCTTAATAATCATTAATCAGCCTGATCAATTGTCAGCCCACAGCATGAGCAGGCCTATGCCTGCTATGCCAGCTATGGGCTGATTAATTTAATTTAATTATTGACAACAATCTGCATTTTCTAAATTAATTATTTAAGCCTTTTTCTATTGTTGGTGGTCTTATTTCTGTATGATTAAAATTTAATCATTATTATCAGGTTGTCGTTATTGTGCTGACCGCCGCTGCGATGTCTGCGTGCTGGAAAAGAGGCACTCGCCTGTCACCAGCATGCCTCGGCTGGTTGGTGCTCCTTCTTCTGCCGCAGCTTCATTTGTCGACTGGATGCCCTCCTCAGCAGTCAGCGCCCGCCAATCGTGAGTACTGCGTAATTATCCACAGGGAAAATAGGTTTTCTCCTGGATTGCGGCGGGCGGTGTTACGTGTAATAGTTACTCTCCTCGGAACACGTTCTCTAAAAACAGGCTCTCCGATTGCGCAACTGCGCCGGATTTCTGACGAAAATCTCGGCCGTTTTTCAACGCGCTCTGCGTCGTGTTAATTTAGCTGTCCAGTTCGAGATTTCTGATTTTTACAATTATTACGAGGCCGGTGTGTCGAAAATAATAATGATCGCAAAATTCTTTTCTGGTGTATTTCGCAGGAAAACATGCGTCGCTTGTCGTGGCGAGCGAAACGGAGCTCTTTCTCTCTGAATTCCTCACTGGGAAAAAAAAGGGAAATTTTCTGGGAATTTTAGATTGAGGGAAAATCTTTCTTTACATGCGTGCCACTGGACGATTTGCCTTGATAGATTATTTTTTTCAATATTTTCTACGCTGGGTTGGCTGACTTTATCTCATACAATCATACTGAAAAAAGGTATAAAAATTTCCAAAAACCCAGTATTAATTTCCAGTAGCCTGAATGCGTAATAATAATAATTATAATATAATTATCTGGATGAATAGAGGAATCGGCTGCTGTAGTTCGGTAATAGTAATAATCATTAATAATAATTAATTATCAATTAATTGTTAATTGTTAATTATTCAAAATACAATGCGTGCGATCTTATCCAGAAATTGCCTCAGCCAGACTTTGTGTGGATTTGTTCTATATCTGAATAACTTGCACCAACCTGCCGCAGACTGATAGGGTCGATTACTTAAATTAACTGTTTGATTTTGGAAATTAAATTAAATTCGGAAATAACTAGATAAATTAAAAAAATAAACTCGGAAAAATCGCCGTGAAATTTTCGACAGGTATTCATGACGTCGCCGACGTCACGTCGGTGCAATTTTCGGAAACAAATCGCGCCGTGTTGCACCGGTGTATCTGTAAGATAATCGATCACAGCGGACTGTCGGTGAAATTGGCGGTGCACCGGTGTCAGAACAAAAATTAATAGGAAATAATAATTCGCATGAAAGCGTTTTTTTTGGTAAAAATACCTCTGTTTATTCGGCTTTATTGTACGATGTTTTGCTGGAACGCGCATCAAGAAGGAAAACACGTACCATCGATCGTCGGGATTAAAAATTGTACTCGATGCAAACTTCATGCAAATCAGTTTCATTTACTATTTCCTTAGAATGTTTAGGCATTTGTATGTCGTATAGCGCAGTCGGTGCGCCGCGGTGACAATTTCTATACGGTAGCACCGCTGAAGTCGGAGCGATTTTACTGAACAATTAATTTCACCGCACCGTGTCGTTAACGTTCAACCGATTTTCGCTGCCGAAAATAACCAGGGTAGGATCGCTCCAGTGGCAACGCTCGTAATACACCCGGATGATTTCGCTCAAGTAGTTGGCTTTCAAGTAGATTTGGCTTAATTCTGTGGAGATGTATTTCTTCTCTAAAGCATCCTAAATCACTAAAGCGTTTAGGAATTCAAAATAAATGAAAATCAGCGACTCCCGCCGCTGGGTAGAATTGCAGCCACCCGGTGTGGCAGCGTAATGCGGTTTTGTCGTGCAAACTTTTCCAAATTTCCCTTCCATTCTTTTTCGATTTTCGTGGCAAAATGTGGCTTTGCCTGCATTTTTCTTTCTGAAATGAAAAATAAATCCCAAGAAATGCTTTAAAGGTTTCCAGTGCGTTGTTAGTTGTTACTTGTGACATAGGGCGAGCCGCGAGTGTTAACAACTTAACAAGCGAAGAGTCTGCAACAGTGCAGCGCATAGTGAGCGTGAACGATTTGCCGGGCTTGTGGCTATTCTACTTAGTCTGTTAGCAAATAGCAGCCTCCCTGGTCTGCGGCTACTAGCACAAGAAACGCAGTCGCCCTGGTTTCCCGTTATGCACATTGCACAGCTTCTTATTCTTGGGAAGGGCATTCGCCGTGAAGACCCGGCTTGAAACATTCCAGCGATTGTGAGGCATTTTTGAGATGAGTTAACGTGAAAATGATTTCAAATGAATACAATTTGCAATCAAGAATGATGCATCATCTCATTTTCAGCGGTCGTTTCATCGCATTTATTGAACCAGCATTGAACTGCATCAATTTATCCATCTAGAATTTATTTAAACGTTCATGTACAGATAGACCGACGAATGTAAGTAAAAGTATACTAGTTCCTTGGAACATTCGGCAACCCGTACATACCCCAGCCGTTGTTGTGTTAAGACAGGCAGACAAACCGCTTTTAACTCAGACTGCCGAAATTAAAACATTTTAACCATTTTAACTCAGACAGAAGCACAGGACACCACGCAAACCGCGCTGCACCACGTGAGCCTCATTTATGGGCCCAATGTCCTAACTGTGCTCGGAATTATCACGCATTATGCGCGTTTCAAAACCGCACCAAAGATTTTGGCGATTTGAAATGGTAAAAAAATGAATATGAGAAATTGTAAAATTGTACAAAATGAGGTTGTTAAAAAACAAATGTGCGTCGTGTTATCGTTTCACCAGTGGTCGTGCGCTGCGGGACCGCGACGGCAGCTACTTGAGGCCTTGCGAATGCCGATTTTAAAATAGGAACGTGTTCCGGTTGCACGTCAATTTACCGACCTACAATTAGCTGACTGCTGACCGACATATTGCTGAATGTCACCACTCGTTGACCAACAAGTTGTTGCCCGACAGTTCGCTTTTCTGCCAAACTGCTGTACAACCTTTTGCCGAAAAATTTGTGTTGACCGACAAGTTAGCGTTCGCTTTCATACGTTGGTTTTTGAGTTTTCTCAAGTTATTACTTAGTGCTTTTCTTTAGGTTTCTTAAGGTTCTTAGGATTCTTAGATTTTATGGGTATTTGATGTCAAACAAACGTCTTCAGCAAATTGTCGGTATTCAGCAAACAGTCGTTAAGCAGTTTTTCGTCTCCACCAACCGTCGGGTCAACATTTTGTCGATCAGCAGAAAATCGTCAGCTAGTTGTCGGTCAGCAGGATGCTGATCAGCAAACTGTCGCTGGGACTCGTGTTCCGTATGCAGTAAAGGGAATGAATAGAATTTAACCTGGCTCAATGGTTAGTGAACGACATGCTGGCGGAGGCGATGCTGCACCACCGCCAGGACGACCGCATCGTCCTGAAGGGACTGCCGCCGAGTGACAGCGTGACGGACAGCGTGGTGTCCCGGCCGCGCCTCGGGGAGGACGCGGCGTTCAATTGCAGCGTGCCGGCCGATGCCGACTGGCTCGACGTCTCCTGGCGGCACCAGGACTGGACCGTCTTCGAAGCCGGTGAGCCGTTTCCCTTGCCGGAAGAGGACACCACGGGACAGACGTACGCCTTCCGCCGCGTCAACCGCACCCTCTTCCTCGTCGTCCGCAACGTCACGCTGCGTTCCAGCGGCTCCGTCCTGTGCGTCCTGTACCCCTTTTCGGGCCGGCAGCGCATTCTGCAGCGCTTCCAGCTGCTGCCTGACATCACGCGCCGCACCGACGTCTTCGCTGGCCCCGACGCTCCCTATCTGACCGTCACCGAGGGCGAGGCCGTCACGCTGCAGTGCAGTATTCGGCTGCCCGTACCGGAAAAGATTCTCTGGTATTTGCTCGACCATTTGATGTGGGTGCATCATGGCCGCATCGTCCAGGGTCCCGCGGAGGCGCCGTACGGCCTGCCGCAGCCCACCGGCGAAGGACCGCGTGCCGTCGAACCGTACTATATTATACCGGCCAACAACAGCCCCGGAATCCTGCTGCACTCGCGACTGTTGTTGCGGGCCGTCGCCCTAACTGATGCAGGGTGTGTGCAGTGCTTGTTCCGGCCCCACCAGCACATCCACGAGTGGATCGTCAGCACGACGACGCTGCGGGTTTCTCCCAAGAATACAACACACCATCCGGCCGGTGCTGGAGTCACATGCCCCCGATAATGCAGTGCGCTGTCCGCTGTGCTGGAGGAACCGATGAGTCGTGTGTCCTCTTTATAGACTTCCTTGTTTTTGCAGTGGCGGGAAGCAATCAATTGATTGTTACCCTAGTTATTGCTGCTGGTAAGTTTAACTGCAAAGTAGATGAAAAATATTTCTGATTTACTGGCACTAGGAGGTAACTAATAAATTCATGATGCATTCGCATTCCCGCTACGCCTCGGTTATGCAGTGCCCACCAGAAGCGAGTGCACTTTCCTAGTTATTATTCGTCTAATCGTAATGTCGCTTCCTCTTATTACACAACAATTTCAGTATTCAATTATAGAAACGGTTAACCATAAAGAAGCTTGGCATCAGAGCGCGTCTTGCCAAATGATTCGGGGACCAGCATTTGACGCTGCGAGCAGAACAGGGTCTGAAGACTCTGAACCTATACTACTGTAGTACGAGCACCGAAACATGACATTCAGTAGGTAATTAACACCAGCTGTCCCACCGCGCAGAATGCGCGCAGTAGGTTGGCTGTTGCATTACGATTATTAGTGCTAATGCCGGCCGTAGTGATTTGACGTTATGTCGCGACGTAAAAGTAATGAAGACCATCCGATTATTAGTGCTTACTTTACGTTGCTTACTTTACTGTAGTTTGATTCTGCTCGCAGTAATTCTACGTTGACCCCATTCACTTACGTTTACCGATCCAGGTTAACTATGGTGAATCGCAGAATACGGCGCAAATCTCGGAACCGAAGCAACGCAACGATACCGCTCTCACATGAATATGGCGCCGCCTGCGGGTCACTTTACGCACTGAAAAAACCTTACGCACTGATTTCGTATTTAAAATTTTAAACATTAATTTTGTTTCAAGAAAACGACCTAAGAAAGCACAAGACGCAAGAAAACTATTGAAAATAAGAGAGCGTAAGAAAGCATAAGAAATCTAAGGAAACATAAGAACGCATAAGAAAGCGTAAGAAAGCGTGCGAAACATAAGAAAACATGAGAATGCCCAAAAAAACGTGATATAACAGAAGGAAAATGAGAAAACAAAATCAAAAAGGCACAGGAAAACATGAAACCTAGGCAACCTTAGAAACCCGAGAACCTGAAGCGCACTAAGAATAAAATCTAGAGGACCTCGAAAACATTTATTAACCAAGCCCGTCGAATTGTTTTGTGCCGAATTTCTGCTGGAACTGGAAAGTCCCAAGGCCGATGGTCGGCAGTTGTCTTGCGGCTAAATGGCGTAAACTGGAAAAACCCCAAAACTGTATGTCCCAAAACCGAAATTTTCCAGCGTCCGCATGTCCCGCGGCAAGATGTCTCCGCGGCGAAGAGTCGGGCGCCGAATTTGGGTCCGGCGAGATGTCTCATTGTCCGGGTGCGGCATAATGATAAGTTTCCACAGAACATCAGTGTTCAGGTTACCTCTTCTAGATTAATACTTGATAAATAACTCGCTTAGATAAATAGATACTATAACTCTAATCATAATACCTGTAAGTCCTTACTGTACAGTGTACACTGTAACTCCTTGCTATAACTGTAACACCAACAACTGTAACTGCAGCACTGTAATTGTATACACTGTAACTCCTTGCTGTTTCAACTTAATTGTAAGGCTGAACGTGCACCTTGATACCGTGAATGCTGTGACCTTTTCTCTTGCAAGCGCTGCTAAATTTGCATTTCTTATTTCGTGTCATGATCTCCAGCTTTTTATTTTTTTTTCCTGATGTTTCCTGTCTTAACTTAAAAGGAGACAACGCTGCACAATAAACACAAATTATGATTATATTGCCGTATATCGTCACCTGCACTGCTCCGACGGTCATGCGCCCACGGAGGGACTAATTACCAATTTACCACTATGATCAGCAAATAATTACAGTACTCGTACTTAAAGCAACGACAGTGTGGCATTGAAAACTAAGTTTTTATTTTGATGAGATTGATGTTTGCGTTACGGTATCTACGTGTCGGTGTGTATGTTTATGACCATTGTGCGGAAAATAATTGGAGGAAGATATCGCAAGGTACAATCGAGCGTCGTAGTGGGTAAGCTATTCGGTTTACATGCGGTCTTTGGCTGATGACAGTTTCCGGTGCGACACCAGCTTCGACAGGGGACTCACTTATTCTCATAGTAACTGAAAGACAACAGACAACCGCTGGGGAAAACAACCTCTAAACATCGAAAAAGGAGCAAAAAGAAACCAAACTGCGGGGAATTACAAGGTGGCACGCCAATTGGCCGACCTTCAATTCGCTGGCCGACAAATTGTTGACCGACAGTTCGGTTTTCCGACAAATTTTTAACCGACGTTTGGCCGAACCCCACTTTTCTTGACGGTTGACCGACAACTTGCTTTAATTTTCGGTTTGATACGTCGGCTTTCAGTTTTCTTAACTTCTTGTTCTTCCTGGCATGTTTCTTAGGGTTCTTAGCTTGCTTAGGTTTCTTTTGTTTGTCAAGCCAGCGAAAAGTCGCCAGCAAGTGGTCGCTCAGGACTCAGGAGGAGTGGGGTCAGCGAATTGTCGGCGCCAAATGCGGCGAACACACGCGTGCAGAACAATTGCCGGCTGATCTTTACGCTTACATCTGCTACATTAAGGGATTTGGCCCGGTACATACTACCAAATTCGGGTACACACACGGGACCTTTCGCTGTCGCGCACTCCTAAACACTTTCTTGCATTGCTTTATGACATTTTGTAGCCAAAGGATTTATATACGTAGTCGTGAAATCCGTTTGCGCGCGCAACATCCGGTTCGGAAGTTATTAGTGAAATAAAATTTTAAAAGTTTAAACGAACGCGCGAAGGTGTACCAAAAGCCTCATTATGGACCGATGCTCTTCTAATTTTGTACGAAAACACACATTACTATGAAGATCGCTTTGGTACCGAACCAGCTTTCTACCATTTTTTTCAAATTTAAAAATAAATTTCAAAAGTTAAAAATTAAAACTTTTGGTACACCTTTGCGCGTTTAAACTTTTGAAATTTTATTTCACTAATACCTTCCGAACCGGATGTTGTGCGCATAAACGGTTTTTTAGCCTATATACAAAAATCCTTTGGCTACAAAATATCATAAAGCAATGCAAAAAAGTGTCTGGGAGTACGCGACAGCAAAAGTTGCGGTGGATGTATACAGATTTGGTGCTATTTACCGGGCCAAATCCCTTAAGCTAACGTTACGGCTATTAGAGAGGGACCACTGCAACCGTTCGAACGTAGTAACGTATAATACACTAATTAGACATCTACAAATTGTGTACAGGCATGCAATACAGAGTTACAGGCAGACTACGGACCGACGAGCCAATGCCTGTGCGAGTGCGCATGATTCCGTACATGGATTTTTGACTGAACCAATTCCATCACAGAGTTTTCTTGGCGCTGGATGTATGCTGCGGCAATCGTTGCTGCGTCGTGGAATGTCATGGGCGAATAATAATGTTGCACAGAATGAATGAATCGGTCCGCTGGCTACAGCTGCTTACTGTACTTAACGGGAAAGCGGCAGTCCAACAGCGTATAGTCGCCGTATACTGTATATACGTACTGACTGGGAGATCGTAGCGCCGACTGTTGCTGAGGCAGCACGTGCACGTTCGTATGTCTGTGAGTGTCTCTGTGAGTCTATGTGACGACGATTCACTATGTGGCCATGGCGAGGTTAATGGCTCTCCGGCGTGTTACTCTTGGGCAGCACCGATAACGTAATCGACTTGAAGACCCATTCGTCCACCTCCTGGTGCGGCCGGAACAGAAACTGGATCGGTCCAGCATCGCTCCGCGTGACGGCCGGTTTGTAATACGTGAAGCGAAATAGTTGGCCGGGACTGTTGCTAGTCAGGGAGTGGTTGAAACGGTTGGACGGTACGCCGTGGTAGGACCCTAATGCCCCGTACGGCTCCACCGTGGGGGCTTTAATAATGTGACCCTGGTGGCGCCACATGATGTGGTTGTCGATATTATGGAAGATCATGTTTGGTAATGGCAGCCGCACACTGCAGGCTACCGTCAGACTGTCGCCTTCGGTGACGGTCACACGGGATGGGTCGCTGGCAGTGGCCGCAAAGACTTGGGAGGCCCGCGTGATGAGCGGCAGCAGCAGGAATCGCTGCAGGACGCGAGCCTGGCCGATGTAGGCCGGGTCAGACGGGGCTCGGACGCATAGGACGGCGCCGCCGGAGCGTAACGACACCCTTTCGATGGTCAACCGGAGGGTGCCCGATTGGTGTCCCCAACTCATGGAATACTTTTGTGTCCCGGTATCATCCTGTGATGTTTGTGACTGCCGTCCCCACGTCGGCATGGCTTTGAAAACTATCTTGCCCTGGTGCAGCCAATACACAGGGTTCGTCTTGTTGTTGGCGGGGACGCGGCAACTGAAATGAGCATGCTGCCCAAGCCGTGGACGGGTCACCCGGCTGTACATCTGCATGTCAGGTTTCGGGGATAGTTCCGGCAAGTTGATCAAGTTGTTGGCCAGCTCCCCCTGGCGGTTGTCCAGTATTGCCTTATCCAGGATGTCGTCCACTAACAAGCGAACCAGCGTTGATTTTATACTCCCACATCTTTCCTATTATTGCGCTACGCGCATTAAAACTGGATAATTAGTGCGTGAAGAGTTCTGCGACGATAGAAATTAATAATTTCAAAATTCATCTGAAAAACGGAACTAATCGACAGAACCGAGCAGGATTTTTGTCGCTCACATGTCGGTCACGCAAAACGTTTTCAAACATTTGTTTGATTACTATTAATTTTTCGCCAGTTTTATTTGGCTTGCAAAATATATTTCAAATATATAGATACTTTGTATATATATAGATATAGATAGATAGATATATGTAGATATATACTTTGTACTTTGTAGATACTTTGTAGTTCAAATAAACTTTGTAAATATTTTTTGTAGTTCAAATAAACTTTATAAATATTTTTGGTAGTTTAAATAGACTTTGTAGTTGAAATAAACTTTGTAAATATTTTTTGTAGTTTAAATATACTTTGTAGTTCAAATAAACTTTCAAATTACATTTTAAATTAAAAAACTAATATCAGTATCAGTTTCCCTAGCTTAAGACTTAAGCGATATAAATTCCAGCTGTTCTGAAAAAAAAAACATTAACTTCGAGTATCCGCACTGCAAAATTTGTACAAACACACGTATGAAGTGATCGCATAATTTATTGTCTAGCTTGACTTCGGTCTTTTAGTGATACCCTGTAGCGGTGCACTTTTCTTGTCGTGAAAACGTTATCGACAATTAAAAAGGTTTTCCCGAATTTATTGGGAATTAAATAACAAATAACTAAATAACAAAATATTTAATATTGAATTTATTGGGTAATTAAATAACAAAGTATTTCAAATTTTTTATTTTTTTGGGGAATTTTTAAATAATATTATGAACAAGATAACTTCGGGAGATAATCTGCGGTTGTTTTCAACACACGATAATTTGATATGTAATTTTTTAAAACATTTTGAATTTATATTGGAATTCTGTAGATAATTTGGAGCACATCGGAGAAATAAAGATTCCAGTTAAAAATTTAAATAATAAATAATGACGTGCTCGAAAATTAGATTTCACGAATGATCTGAAAAAAAAATTGCAAAATCGATTAAATTAAAAATTACAGATATGTTCGAAAGCTCAGAACTAAATTTCAAAATTAACCGAGAAACTGGCAAAAAATTTAGAAAGTCTTCGAGAGAATTGGTCATTTATTGACAAAATTAATCGGAGATTCAAAATTTTGCTTCGAACGTTCCTTAGATGATAATTTGAAAAGGAACTGGAAGTCAAAGTTTAAAATGAGAATAATTTAAAAATTAGTTGAGAAATTATTTTGGATGTCTGGTTTAGATTAAACATCAAAATTATATACAAAAATTTAGGAATTTAAAATTTATTTTATTTGAAGAAATCAAGAAATACAGAGTAAAAGCTGTTTTATAAATAGGTTTTTTTCCGAAATAAATTTGGAAATTCGCAGGTTCTCTAAAAATTCGGAATTTTATTACAAAAATAAAAAAAATTTGAAATTCAGTTACTAACTTACTATTTACTAAATTTATTTGGAAATTAAAAAAAGAAAACGGAGCCACATTCGAAATCTAAAAATTAATAGAAATAATTCGGATTCTTTATCATTGTTGTTGGAACGGATTTTTATTCAGATGTTGTTTACGCAGGCGTTGTCCGGTATTAACCGTACAGGCTAAAATCACAGTATACTTGATAAAAAATTTCAGAACTAGATGTAGAAGTATAGAAAAATAGATGTATAGAAAAATTCGCTGTAATACAGAAATTACGTTCGGCTTTTAAAGATTATTTCTAAAATAATTCTATAATTTCGTAAATAGATTTGAACATTGGAAGCTAATTTTAGTGAACCACCGCTTCCGGTTGTCAACGCTGTTCATACTAATACGACGACAAAATTTCTATCAATGTAAATTTCTATCACCATACGCTGGCTTTATAAGAGCCCGATACGACCATAATTTAAATAAATCCGGTTTGCACTTATTTGCCAGAAAAGAAGTAAACGAAGTGGGTGGCTGTTTTAAGTTCTACTGCTCTTACAATAAAATACCAAAATTAAAATTAATTTTCATTCGGGCACGGAGCACTTACGGCTGGGACGGGATGGCGGACATCCCGCCGCCATGTGTAGGAATGTGAGGAGCACCAAGAAGCACACGCAAACAGATGTCATTTTCGATTCAGATAATAACGGGAATAATTATTTCCTACTTAATAAATTCTACTTCTGCAACCGCAAACAGATTGCAGATACGGAACGGACTGGCGTGATTTTTATTAAAATATTTCTGCGCATGAACACGCTGTACATTCATATGATATGCTAAGCTGGTTTGTCGAGCCAGTTTATGTAGTACAAAAGATTAGACCCCGCTTTACCGGAAATAACACGCACTGTTCGATCGGCTGCGTAACGTGTGCGATGCCGGGCGGCAAGCAGCGGCTGCGACGACCCGGTACAAGCATACCCATATCTGCCAGCTACAGCCAGCGGAACATGGTTCGCCTGCCGACGGTAAAACTGGCAATAAAAAATACACGAACTGGGAATTCCATTAAGCGCTGCATTTTACCGGCATGATGAAACTGCTGTGGGCGAAGGGCACTAAAGGCATCGGCCCTGTGCCCTAGCCGTTCCCTATGCGGAATGTAATACTAAATACTGCAGCTAGTACGCGTAATTAGTATTATTGATTTTCAGTCTGTGCTGGCATACGCAGAGGGCGTTGCAGTCATTTTGATCTGTCCCACAAATAATCTTACAGTAATACACTTCAGTAACTATGAACTCGGCGGTTGTGGCAACAAAATTGAAAAGAAAACAGAAAAGCAGCGATGAATCATATAGTAAGAAAAAGGCAAAAAACGGGGCAGCCGGGAATCGCACTTGGGACCTTCTGAACCCGAAGCGGAATCATGTCCCCTCGACTACTTTGCCGCTGCGAGCCGCGATGAAAGTATTCTGGACGAAGGAACAACAATCAGTTATTTTGGTTTAGCTGCTTTGTGCGTGATAGTTTCCGGCATTTCAGCGCACGCCTGTTAAACCAAAATTTTCATTCGTTTTATTACTAATTAGTAATAAAACGAATGAATGAATTTACTTATAAGTAAATTAAATTTTTTTTCCGCGGCCGGGCATTAACTACGCGCGAGAGTTTTCAAATGATTCTGTACGGGCGCGAGGTCTTGCCCGTAGTAAAACGGCCGTACTACGCACAGGAGCTCATGCGCGCAGATAAAGCATTACGCGCGTGAGTAGTAGGCACTCACACGCGTAGACCTGACGAATAATTAGTTAATCGCAAAATACAATTAAACAATTGCGATCATTGTAGTGTAGTGGCTGCTTATTAAGAGACAACATCGCGGCTTGAGATGTACTGGCACCTTTATGCGAGAAATTATCCACCCGCAGTGTAATGTACCGCAGCTGCCCGAAAGTGATTTTTTGGTTGGCACTGTATCGGTACATTGGCATAACGCGTAAAAGCTAAACTTTGGGTGTCTTCCTTCGTCCGCCACCGGATGTCGAGCTAACCGCGCAGCTAATGAATTTTTTTATAAAATTAGGCAATGCACTATGGTCACATTACACCGAAAAACTCGAAGGAAACGTACGTCGAATTTGATACAGAAAGAGCCCATTAATGGGCGTTCTTTATATATTACTTCGATGTCAAACGGCACGGTTCAGTTTTCAAAAAGTGGCTTTACAAAAATTGGGCGAAGCTCGCATACATGCGTATTGCACTTAATTAAAAGATAGCGCTACTTGTTCCTTGAGGATTTTCTGAAAGGTCACCATAAGCAGCCCATCACTCTGCCCAATAGATACCGCAGTATGTGTTATAACCGCTTGCTTTACGTACAGTACATATAATTATGAGAGATAATAAAGCGAATGAATGTTGTCGAAGCGGTTCACCATGTGGGACTAAATGTTCTGACCGGCTCACCATGTGCGTCACTAAACACATTTATCGGAATTCGGAACCTGCCCTTGCTATTTAATTCTACACCTGACTTAAGTTTTCGTTCTTCTTCCGTTTGTACGCGACGTAAATGTGTCTGATGTAAATGTGACGTAAATGCGACGTAAATCTGTCTAATAAATTAAGGCTGTGATCTGGTCACACAGTGAAATGGTGTTTCTCAGTTCTGGTAATTGTAAATTTGTAATCATCGCTGATTCGTGACCTCACATCCTTTTCTGTCCTGAACAGTCGCAAGCTTAATTCCTCAAAGCGCTGACTAAGCAATACGAGCTGAGATGCTTTAAGAGCATCGTTCTAACCCACTGACGCCCATTGGTGTTGGGGCGCAACAGGGTCTTCAAATCGTTTTTCTTAATGAACAACAGCAATTAAGCGATATCTGATAGCGTAATTAGCGTTACAAACCCTTACAGCAGCAATAAAAAAACAAACCAAACTGGATTCTGAAGTCCCTCAAGAACCACGAGGTCGCGAAAGTCGTCAATTTCGAACTTTCTGATCTCCCGAAGGTCCTGCTAATTAACTAATTAGTCGCTGAGTCAATTAATCTGAGATAATTCAGTAATGTACTATCAGTAATGCTTTGTAAGAAAATAACAAGCGTCGGATCTAAAAGTTAAACAGTGGATGGCCACAGTCCATCGAAAACTTGTGTTGCGTGCAGACACCATTGGGCATGTATGGTCCTGAAGTACGGGCGGGCGCAATTGCGACACTTTTATAATTATGTAAATCGGATAAGGTCTTGTTGGTTCGGACTTCTAATATGCTCCACGTGATTCTGCTTGCCGGAACTCTTCCAAAAACAATTTAGTTGAGCGGCACCCTGGGCGGTCGGCTATAGCCTTCAAACGAACGAATCGATGGCCGTTTCTGGACAACCAAACCTTTAAGGTAACCGAGCGTAGTAACCTTGTTTCGCAATCTGCAATAGTGCATTATCACTATAATTAGCATGACAACCCTGCAGTCTTGCGCCTCGTGCGATCTTTTGCAGTTTACATGAGTCGGAGTGTAGGTGTGCAGGAAAAAAATGCCTCGGTCTCCTGCAGCCGTGGATGATAACAACTCCAGTAAGCACATGTCCGGTAGTGAGTAGTGACCTTTGCGCCAGGTGTATTAATAACATTCGGCCGACGCTGAGTTCCTGATGGCGGATGCTGCCTCCAGAACTGGTGATGTGAACTTCAGCACATCACTACCATACGCGCTACTGGACCGTTATCGCTGATTTCTGATTTAAACGCTGCGGCTACTCCATAAAAGTGCAATGATGTTCCATGCAGCAGTGTAAAAGCAGCTCGGCGTGGCATAAGGACTGTTACGCGATGTCTTGTACGAAAAGTAATGCTATTTTGATAGTTGGATTGTTGATAATCGCTGTATTTGTTGTGTCCAGTTATCCACCAATTACTATACATGGTGCAAAAACCGTTTCTTTTATTTTCCAGTTTTGCTGACCAATGGTCAGTTTACTGACCAGTGCAACACCCTTGTTTTGAAGCCCTCTTTATGGACTACACGATAAAAGTTTTTGTTTCGGTCAGGTCTTGCTCGCCGAATTATTATATATTTAAACGTTTTCATGACTAGGACCGTCTGCGCCCAATGGTGTTGCTAAACACCCATGTCACCGCCGGTGACCTATGGTCAGTACAAGCAAACAAAAAATTCCCTTTCTTAATTGAATTTTTTCATCGGGAAATCCCGGTTTTCACGAAGAAACTCCCACCCGTTCTGGTAGTGAGCGTTGGAGGGCTAATATCAAGCTAGCAATAAGCTCTTTACAGGAGGAGACCAAAGAATTATTCAATAAAATGAGTGAATTATGCAGAATGCATGAATTCGTAAAATAGCGGGCAACATTACCTTGGCGAGCAGCAGCGCTGTTTGATCCTGCATTGAGCCGGCGCGGCCGTCCGCCGACAGCAGCCACTGCACCGCGGCTTCCAGTTTGACCAGTCGGTTCTGCGCCTGCTGGAGGAGCTGGTGGTGCGTGTGGAGATGCCAGGCCATGTAGGCCAGCAGGCCCAACAGCACGACCTCGCAACCGGTCACCATGCCCAACACAAAGGCTAAGAATCCCTGCGTGTCTATACCTTTCACCAACTGCACAACATAAACCCAGGGACCGGCATATTCCGTGCCGTTGACGGCCGTCCAGCCCTCTCCCGCCGACTGCACCGCACTGATACTCATTGAACCGAAGAAAAAGACAACCGTCTGAAGAATAAACTGAACCGGAACTGCTTGTGAGACGACCACGTCCCGCGTGCGAAGTAATTCACCAGCAGGTACAGTAACGCTGTTTGTACGCAGTCTGCGTTAAAATTATTTATCTCAGTTTTCACAGCAAAACTCATGGCTTATAAACGGAGCATTGTCGGAGAAATATTCGCTATTCTTTCCGTGTATTCTGCTTGCTCTGTATGTATTCGCTGTATACACTGCATGCATATTTCTGCACTTAATGCAGTCGGCAAAAATTTCTCTGCGAAAAAACATATGATTTGTCAGCAGCATTACCGGTTTGCCGGCTGCTACGAGCCGGTGCGATTACTTGTGTGTAATTTATAATAGTCAGTTACAGAACTAAAACAGCGAATTGCCAGCTTCCACGACGTGCTATCATTACAGGCATTTGATTGATGTCAGGAAACTTTTATTTAGTAATTTCCCTGCTAGCAAAGTTGTATAAAACAGCATTTCCATCGAAATAAAATGTGTAGGTATGTATTGTACGGATATACATATTAAGCAAGATTTCATAATTATGCCGGTCTGCGGCATCACTACCCAGTAGCAACAAATTTATACGAAATATCTTGCAGCATAATAAAAATCCCCGCTGCACCGTATCAAGGCAAAACGTAAAACACTTTTTAACTGCTCAAGTTAGTACCAAACATAAAAGTATTGTTTAGGTTTTATGATCCATTTAATTTTCCAATTATGGTGGCTGATCACGAAATAATGCTGGAAGCGCAAGTTAAAAAAATCGTTAATTAATGCTAAGCTAGCTATGCCAGGGAAGGCTTGCAATGGACTGATAGTCTGCTGGTAGACTACTAACTGGTATGGTGTGGAGGGGCGCCTTATATATGGTCCTGGTCAGGATGGGCTCGGCTGCCATGGGTAGGGGTGGTGTGGCGAGGATCCATTGGCGGGGCACATGACGGCATGATGATGTAATATGCCGTCACCATGATGTAACATGACCGCGCTGGAATGTGCAGCGCATACCTGCACGCGCACTTCCGCTGACTAATGCCTTTACGGTACGATTAGTGACGATGTCGTCACAACTGTCATGCGCTTTCTCCGCCGGCAGGCACGCCCGCCATGGTGGATTGAACAGCAGTGTGTGCCGATCCGTGGTTTCGGCCGGTATCGCCGCGAAGCTTGTACCCCGCGGTACTTCCCACACGTTTGATCGTCGCCCGGACGGATGAAAGACGTTTGGCTGGAAACTTGGCATGTGCTTACCCTGGGACGTCGCTTGCGTTGACACTGTCGCCCCGTCGCTTAACAAGCCCTTGGGCAGCCGCGGGATCCGCCGCTGCCCAGACCGTAGACAGGAGGACCAGTCTGTATCCGCACCTTGACGGCAGTTACATTTTCGCGCCGTTAGCCTTCGAAACACTCGGGCCATAGGGACAGTCGGCATCCGCTCTAGGAAGGAAGTCGGCAAGCGATTGCAGCAGCACTCTCGTGAACCTCGTGAACCTCGTGAACCTGCGTAACTCTTCCTGCCATCGCGTTGGTCGCTTCGCTTCCAGCAAACAAATGTACAATGCAAAAAAACTAAAGCAATTAAACTCTTATCGAAAAATTTTGTGTCGCCAGAAAGCACAGAACATTAATTTTTGTTAAGAAAATTCATGGGCTCAAAAAAACTGTTGGAATTCCATGCAAATTTTGCGCGCAGATTATGTGTACATGACAGTACGCCATCGTATTTGATTTATTTTTCGAGTTCTTTTACCTGTTGCTGTGAGAATTCCACTTGGACTCATTTGTAGTAGTGTTTACGGCTGACTAGTAATGCAAGCAAAGTAATAACGGAAACTATACGTATTCCAGTAATGCAAACAGACGGGAAGTGTAATGTAAACTAGTAATGTAATGAACAAGTTTAGTTACACTAGAATACAGTTACTGTATTCTAGTGTAACTAAACTTGTAACAGAATGTGTAACTTTTAATCACAACCATTTGTGTACTTAGACGGAATATCCGGTTGTGACAAGTTAGGTGAAACAAGATTCCATAAATTTAAATAAAGATTCCATAAAGGAACAAGATTCCATAAATTTAAATAAAGATTCCATAAAGAAACAAGATTCCATAAATTTAAATGCAAACAGGTGTACGAGTACCTACAGTATATGCTACGACAAAGGCCACGAAATGTTTTGCCAGCTAGAAATGCTTCTCAAAACAAGAACAATACATACAGTGTTTCTGGTGGAAGCGGCTTCAAGTGCCTAAGTTCATAGAATCATAAAGTACGCAAAAATGCGCCAACAATCCATTCAAAAAGGAAGAGTTTATAAAAAAAGCATAAAGACTTAAAACGTTAAATAGCGATTATTGTTACAGTTCAAATGCTCGCGGCGACGCCGTAAGATCAGTTACCGTTTAGATAAAGATACGTAACAAGGAAGACTAAAATTCAAGCTAAATCAATAAGCAGAGGATGCACTAGATTACCGTTCACAATGTCGGCTTTTTATTTCTGAGGTCTTGACAATCTTGACCGGTCTCCTGGAGCGCCTGTTGATAAGCTTTCTTGACGCAGATGTCGATGACCTGGTTGGCGGCGGCTTCCATCCTGCCGAGAATGGAAAGCATTGTACGCTGGGTCAGCACGAAAGAGATTGGCGCCCCCAGCAGTGATCCGACAAACGGGATGAACTTGAGCAGCTCTTCCACCGCCTGGCCAGCAGCCTCCGTCGACAGTTCCTTGCCAAGGAAGACCACAAAGTCCTTGGTGATCACGCCTGGAATGCACAAAGCCACCGCTTTCTCCAATATGGCCAAATCTACTCCATGTGTCTGGGCCATTGTCGTCAACGACTGCTGGTCCAGGCCGAGCTGTTGCTGATAGAAGCGGCTCTCACTTATTACTAAGCCGATGTCGAATGCGGCGGACATCCCTGTAATGCTTTGGCGTTATCTTATTTTCGAGAAATTACTGAGCTTAGTGAACCTATCAAGAGAGCAGGTATTTGGTAGAATTATCGGAAGCCGGCTACACCGTTTTTGATTTAATTTCGTAGCTAGCTTATGTCTACTCTGCACGTATAGTATCGGCACACCGATCGATCATTGTGGCGTAAATGTCGGCACACCGATCGAGCACCTGCGCGGTTTTTTTGGTAATTACCGTTATTTAGCACAATTAACATTTACCTATATTCTTACCTATATGGACCGTAGTAGCGTTACTACGGTCCATAGTTAAGAACATCGGCTGTATTTGTATATGTTGGACAATACATTGTCATTAAGTAATAAGTTATGACTTGCTGTTTGTGCGAAAGCGAAACTCTTACCCGGTACTGGTAAGAGGCCAGCAACACCGGAAGCCAGTGCCGCTTTCCATACACGGCCTCGAAGAGCTTCAACCTTTTCTGGAGGATTTTCTTGCTGAGCATGCCCATAGGATTGAGGGAATACAGAAAGGCCTCACGCTTCAAATCCGGCAAAGCAGTCAACAGCGTGTCTTGCAGCTTCCAGAAGTCAAACTTGCCGGGTTCGTAACTGTCGATGAGGAAGATGTTCCTTCTTCAACCTTGAACAACTCCAACTTCTTGATAATATCGTCGCGTACTTTCTGCAGGATCTCGTCATCGGACTGACTAGCCGTTGTCCTCGGATGGGATTTACGCTGCTTATCCACGTCCACACCGCTCTGCGTGCGCACGTAAAAGAATCGTTTGCCGAGCCTTCCGATCTCGGTCGCCAGCCATTGGTCGTCGTAGGTAAAGCGACTGCTGGACAGGAGTAAATAAAAATCGTAACGCTGGAAGTCAATGTTTTCCAGATACGTTTCTCGTGGGAATTTCGGGGTGCCCACCCCCGGACAATCCCAGTACACTAGCAAGGGGTTGTCGGGATGGGCGTAAGGCCGCACTTCCGCCGTGCACTCCACAATATTGACCTGCGCGCCTCCTTCGTCTTCCGCGGTGATATTCCGACTGCAGTTAATGTAGCTGGACTTGCCTACGCCGCTCTGGCCGATGACGGCGATGTTGAGCGGCACGGTTTTCCAACGGTCATTGCGCTCCTGCAGGATGCGGGCAAACCCGACGCGGCTCCACCCTCCCGGTATGCTTCCTCGATTTCCTTCACGTCTTCTGGACAAAAATTGGCCACTGCCGATATTTGCGAATTTTCTTCTTCCGCCGTGTTTATACTCGTAAGCAAAGACAAGCTTTCCAAAATTTGATTCATTTTACAAGAACTAAGAACGCATAATATTAAAACGGTATTAGGACACAAATGCCGCAGAGTTGTGACAGGAATATATCGCTGTTCTCCTTTATAAGGATAGTGTGTGCTTACTCACCATGCCGAAAGACTGTATTCTTGTACTCTGTAGGAGTCATCATAGAAGAAAGATAAAATGAACAACGACACCGCATAACCAGGTGTGGCGTGAAGTACCGTCGTTTCAACAGAAAGTACTGTAGAGCAAACAGTTGGTAAACTATTGTGCTACATTCCTCACCAGCTGGTATGTAGGGCTTGAAAAGAGGCAGCATGGTGTAAATGAACCTTTTGCCGCAATAGCCGTAATAATTTGGGTTCGCTTTATTCTTATCGGTGTTGTACAGATAGGTAGCTACCGCCGTACTGCGCCTTGTATGACTAACGTCCGGATTTTGACATCCATATCAATTGCAGAAATGATCGATGGATTTTAACTCGTCAAAGGCTATTTATTCTATGTACTGTAACTAGCAGATTACATGGTTTGGAATTTGGTGTTGATTTATTGATAGCGGGATACGAAAAGCTGTGTCGCAGAGCGCCTCGACGCTATATTCATATCAGCTACAGGAAATTGGGTAAGGTAAGGCAGCGAATCGATCGTTGGGGATCTTCTGAACTTTCACTCCTAACTGCACCGCACTTTCACTTTCATGTGTGGAGAAATCCAGAAATAAAAAAAGATCATAAAATGAGCATAGAGCCATGTAGACAAGACAACCACAAATTCGACAATGTTGGTCTTTGGAAATTAACTGCCGCATCAGTGCTTGAGGCAATAGAAAAAGCGGAAAATGTAATCGAGACTATTTTGTAATAACCCTGCTTGGCCGTTATATTGCTCATATATAACTAGCTAAGTAATAAACGTGTAAGAATCCTTTGATTACACTACAGCCGCATCAGTTAACATTAAATACAAACTTGGCGGTTCTTTTTTCAAAAAGTCTGTACTTGCCAGTGTGATCGGGCGAACGACCACTGTCAGACGTCGTGTGGTTGCCATGGTCTGTGCCCTGAAGGGTTGAACCAGTTGCTAGTGTCACTATCAGAGCCCAATTACAATTAAATTTTATTGACTGGTGAATCGTGACATACACCTGCTGAAGCGCCCATTTAGCGATACAACAACCACCAGAATCTGGTTTATCAAATCATTTGGCTACAGAACACGACAAAGCAGTGCAAATACGCTTATAGAAGTATGCAAGGGTGACGTATGCGAACAAACTCAACAAAGTATGGCCATAACGTATTACTTGTATGCTGACTGCTGAGGCATTTTCTTCATTCTCTAACAATCCCACAAATGTTTAGTTAGTAATGAACACAATGATCTTAATGAAAACACGCTGTTAGTCTTTTCAAGTCATCCGCAACCATACTAGCTGTCTTCGCAAACTGTGGATAGAAAGCCATGTAAGCGCACAATGGCACAATATGCTGGGAGTGAAATACCAGCACCAGAACGGTGTATGCCGCGCTCTGGCTGTTCCCCGTCCAGCGCAACAGAGCAATCGGCAACTGGCACAGCGCCGCCGACACCACAATAATCGATCCAGCGACAACCATTCGAAAGGTCACCGGCAGAGATTTCTTGTTCCTCTGAGATTTACCATTATTCTCATCAACGTAATATCCTGAGAGCTGCGACGAAACGTTCGGTAATTCTTCCACAATCTTCTGCCGGGATTTAATGGCGATATAAATAATTCGCGCTTGTGAAACACCAACCAATACAATCGTCAGAATCAGTCCGCCTTCCACGCAGACGGCGAACCACGCCGCTCGATAATCGAAATACGCTGTGGAAATGCACGGTGCCACGACGAACTGCCCAAATTTTCCGAACATTACTGCGTTGAATATAATGCAGTACGTCCAAATAGCGATTAATATTCCCGCGATTATCGAGCAGTTAATGCGATTCCAGTAATAAACGGGGAATTCCACTGACATCCAGCGATCCAGACTGATACAGCCGATGTGCGCGTTGTACAGCATCACGCCGAAATACGTGTCGGCCACGCCCAGCTGGTACGGCAGTTGGCTGAGATGCCGTGGTTCGATAATGCGAGATATGGCCGCGATGGGGAGGAAGAGGAGGAAAATGGATTCCGCCAACGAGAGTGATAAGTGTAGGTAGACGAAAGGTTGTTTATTTTTCCATCTGAGGAAGGTGATTAAATTGATGAGATTGCAGAGGGCACCGGTGAATGAAACGATCAGAAATCCCGTTGTCAGGAGATGCCACTGCCGGGTGGTCCCGGAGAAATATTCGTTACAGAGCATTGACCGGTTTGGGGTTGCGTTCATGGCGTTACCCAGCTGATGCCGCAAGTTTGACTATAATATTGACCCACATCAGAATTTCATACGTACAGTTTGGTAAAATAATCTTTTTCCACCACATACCATCGTTTAATAAATAACTGACAAGCAGGTGATCCTGCGCTTCTGCTACGTTAAGATTATTGCGGCACATGCAGCGCAAAAAAAAATTCAGACTGAAGTCGGAAAAAATAGTTTCGTCTTGTGAAAAAAAGGGATGCCTGCTTTAAAACAAAATCATCTGCAGCAGGACTGCGGAGTCAGTTGTAACTACGACTGTGAATACGGATAGTGCCAGTGTACAGTGTGCCAAAACTTACATTTTATCCAAAAGCCCAACAACGCTGCCATCGAACGCTTGGCAGAGACGGGTACTGGGGGCTTTGGGGTTGAAATGTAAAGCCAGCCTATGTATTGTAAAAATGTGCCGGCATCCAACGCTGCCGCCGACAATCAGCTAAATTAGATGCCGGCGCCCCTGCGGCCACGGCTTACAGCCTTTCAGGTTGGCTGATGTTGCGATTGATTTTGCGGCCCGACAGCGAGAAACTGATATCCTAAAGTGTACGGCATACCGTGTTTTTATGTGTCCTCTAGTTTAATCTAGCTAAAAGATTTAAACGGTGTTTATTCGAGAAATCTAACGGATTCCTGGATGTGCTGCGGGAAGGGCTATTGTTACGCCGCACGTTAAGGGGGTGCTGTCAACAGCCAGTGGGACTGGCATCGTTCCACTTCAGGCGCACTTACCAGAGCAGCATCGCGCTAGGGCATTGTTGCAGGTCACGCTCCAGAGGTAGAAGGACGTGGTTGGCTACGTGCGTATACTACTCTGTATATTAGCGAGAAACAAGAAAATTCTGTCCTTATTTCCCTAGTCTGGGATCCACCTCTCAGTAAGTACAAACATAAGTACCAGTGCTGCTAATAAGTGGAATGAAAACGCTTTTTTGGTTTTCCCAGAAAAGCTGTTGTAAAGCATAATATGTATATGGCACTGGCTCTCGTATGTCTACGTCTTTCGTGGTCGCACAACTACTCGCTCGAGGAGCATTAGTTTGCTTAAGCCATACTGTATGGCCGAAAGAAAAAAGTGACCCATTTGCAAGTGGCTCGTGATCATTAAACCATTACTAACTGTCTTTTTAACAGAACTACGAGTAGGCTTACAGAGAAAGTTTAAGTTAGTTAGGGACACTCTGTCGCAGTCTCCCTAACACTTTACCTGGCAAGGATGTTCCTAATACCAGAAGAAAGTTCTATAACCGAATCGGTTAATATTACTGATGACAAGAAACCGGTCAGCATAAGCTGCTGAATACAATTAAGTAATTCCCGAAAAGTCAGTAAAATTAACATATTGAGCCGGATAGGTCGACAAAATTTCTGACAATTGCCGGCAGGGTTTCTCACGATTACAACGGTTTTTTAACGGACGGTTTCAAACATCATTTTGTGAGCAGCCGGCATAACCGGAAAATTGATGGGATCATAAAATATGAACAACAATTTTACGTCTTGGTAGTTGGTACAAACTTGTACAATTCAAATGTATTCTAAGTCTTGCGCTGACACTGTGCAGCGCTGTGCATAATTATCGGATCCTTACAGAAACCAGTTTCCAAGACAGTACGTGATATCTGTTTTATGCTTCGTCTGGATACATAAGTACTCGTACACGCTAGAAACACAAGCTTCGTCAGGACGCTTAAATCACTTCATCTAAGCAGTTAATATTGTAACCCATGATCCGTCGAAACACTTTTCCATCTTCCCTATTGTCCGTAGCGTACTGATCATGTTGCGAGTGGTTTTGTTTCTACTACCGTTTGCCTTTGGCCAAACTTCCGACGATATCGACAAAACTGCAGACCATATCATAGCTCAATCCTCTTGGAAATCCCTATCCAAATGACACATGACTTCACATTCTCAACGGAGAACTGTGTATGTATTTTTAAAACTGCATGCTTTTACGGGGATGATCTTAAAACTGAGTTATATGCTGCTTTGGATTATTGTAAAGCAATAATACTTAATGATTATTGACTGAATCTGACTGGAATCCGCTTGTTTCTGCAGGGGAGAACGAAACATTACACGGGACATTAAATCTCTGCTCTAATGGTTCAAACCAGGAGCCAAATCACTTTGCCATCACCAGCAGAAATGACTCTGCTGTAAAAAGTGATGAGATGCCGCGCCGCATGAAAATTTCCTATTTTCGCGGCTACAAAAGTTTGGTGTTCTATGCACGCGCTGAAGACTTGTGGATTATGAAATTCAGGGACTTCCTGGATCTTCCGAAATTTATGGGTGTTCACCGTATCGCACTGCCACAGACCAATCGCAGCGTCTCTGAAGTGGAAGAAGCCTTGGCGTACGCATGGGCGCCCAGTTTTGGTAATTTATTGTACAACATGCACTTGTATATGTCTTAATGCCTTAATGCTGTGAATTAGCCAATAGCCGGCATTTTAAACAATTTTTTTAAATATTCTTAATATTTTGAATATTTTTGTTTATTTTGAATAATATTAGCGACAAATGTTCTCCTTGCTAGAAAACACTTCCATGACTCCGGGGCGTGTGCAGATCATAAAGTTCGGCCAAACCTGGGACGTTTTTTCCAGCGATGGGTAATTTATTGATAACGCGGTGGTATTAACCGCATAACAATACCGCTGTTCCTTTAAAGGTCACCTCTAGTAACGATTCTTTACATTCTTCCTTTGGACGCACTCCCTTCATCTGCTCTCGCGCGTTCTCGTATGTCTGCTCAGAACTGGTCATTTTACGCGGAGCTGCCGAAAGTCGCTCCGCCCTCTGCCGAAGTTTTCTGGCAGCGACTTGGAGAAAAAGGCTTTACGCAGCCCATTGGGAACATCTTTCGTAGTGCGGCACCATATAGTGTTCCGTATTATCTGTCGGATAACACGTCCTCGCCTGGTTTCTTTGAAACGGACCGACTACTGTCCGATCTATCTGCTATGGTTATGGAAAGTCGAAAGTTTTACAATTGCAGTGAGGAAGGAAAGGCCAATGTGAAAATTCACCTTGCCGCTTTTGAACCGGCAGTTGCCATTTACAGATTTAATGGCTCTTTTTCCGCGTAAGTCACTGTTTATTCATTAATCGATCGTAGATTTCCTAGTTTTCAAAATTTTCTTAGTTTCCTTGTATTTTCTCATGTTTTCTCATGCATTCTAAACTTCTCTCATATTTCCTATGTTTTCTTGTGATTTCTTGTAAATTCTAGCGTTTTCTTATTGTTCGGTAGATTTTTTTCGATTTTTTGGCTTAATTGGTTTGCTTAAATTTTTAACTTTCTTATTTTTTTCAGTTAAATTTTCCTAAGGTGCTTTCGCCCGTTTGTTTTTTTGATTTCTGCTCTGGCTGTTTTCAGATTGACCGTTCTACCGTTTTCCTTCGTCCCAGCTATAAAGTACAAAGTTTTCGCTAGAATGTTGCCCTTGAACGGATTGGGAGATTTTCCAGAGCGATATTATAAATTCGATCGACACTTTTATGATATCCGTATGGGAGTAAAGTCTGGGATAAAGTCGCTGCTATCACGTCCGTTTACTCGGGCTTATTCCTTCCGCATGTACATTGACCGGCCGATGTCCATACAGCTGCTGCCGGAACTGGAAAAGCTAATGTGGGAGCGCCTGCACGCTAATACAACTAAGGTGACGTGTACTGGCGTCCCTTAGTACACATCGGTACTACTTTACTACTTCTACCCCTACTACTAAGGCTTAGGCTTTACTACATCTTCTACGCGAGTCATGACCGCGACTCCGAGTGTCGACTTCTCAGAAATCCCCAGCAGAGAACTTTGACCGCGACTTGCCATTTCGACGTGACCGCGCTTCGATGACGTAGCTTAACCTATTGTTCTAGTGTATTAGTTGACCTCATGTTCTCATTTGTCCACGTGTAGTGATGCAGCGGTGTGATTAGTCCACGTGTCCTCAGATGTCTCTTATTGGCTAGAGTTTATATCCCTATTGTTCTCAGACCCGTACCTGCGCGTACGAAGAGCCAGCACTTGCGGTGCCCAGGGCTATATAAGGCGCTCGTCGCCCACACAAATGTCAAGAGTTGTAATCCCAACAAAAGTAGAGTCTTGTCACTCGATCTGATTAACTTCAGGCTTTTGCTCTGGTCTTCTCTTTCCAAGTGAGGCTGTTCAAACTGACCTCTGGGTGACCTTTCACCTATTGTCAGGGGTCATTCCTCTACTTCGTCGACGTGCATTATCATCTTCGGATAGTCTCGTGACGTAATAGGCTACCCACTTGATCCCACTTGCATCCGGTGACCTTTCGGTCTCTTCTTCGGTCTTCATGCCCTGTATCACCAGGTTGATGGATATTTCTCTTATCGCTTCTGCTAACATCTAGCGTCGGACAGGTAACGTATACTTCTCCGTCGTGTGTGTATTTCTCGTGTTTGCAGGACCCGGACCTCTTCTTCTTTTCCTTTCCTTCTTCATACCAGATCAACGTAATCTTCTACCATCTTCCGTAACAGTTTGAGACAGAGTCGCTCTATCCGACTGGACGTGGTCGGACTAGTGGATACGGTACCCACTTCACTGTGTTAGGTCTTTCATTCACGTCATGGCGCCCAACGATGGTTCTTATTTTCCCGATGTTACGGAAAATTGTAGATGGTACGTTATTTTGTATTTTCTTTTGTAACCGTAAATCGAAAATTGGTCCAGGTCAGAGTAAGGGTATTGTAATCCCACAAAACTGACCGAGGGTCTCTTCCCTCGCCCAAGCCCCCGGGCATCTGTCTCTCATCTGTCTCTCTTCGGGTGAAATAATCCCACTTTCTTTTCTGATCATTTGATCTGGTGTGCCCTTAAGGTACTAGTGTCCTTAAGGCACAGGGTGGCTATAGGGGACCGTACAGCATAGGCCTCCCTTGAAGCGAAAGCTGTACTAATAATTCTAAAACTTAACTGATTATCATTTGATTATTCTGTGTGGTATTCGTGGGCCGACAAGCCGCCAGTGTGTGTGAATTTGCAGCATCATTTTAACAGTGAAATTTGGTTAAAGTAACCGTACAGTAGCCGAAAAACCACAAAGGTTGGCTACGATAAATCAACGATTGGATTTGGACAACTGAAACCTTAAAGGTCAGTTGCGATCTCGTGAAACGAACGGCAATATCAGCAAGGAAACGCTGAGTGGAATTTGTAAGTAAAACGTGCGAAAATTCGCAGAGATTTAGCCGTTCTTTAAATCGAAACCTTACAAAACATTGAACTTTCGTATCTGAGTTAGTGGGAAAGCCACTACTCTACGATTTTGGAAATTTTCGAACTTTGGTAAATTCAACAGAGCGGATATAGCCGTCTCGTGTTGGGTTAACGCAGTGTCACTGTTAGCTGGAAATCGGCCACAGTGCGTAACTAGCGGTAAAATATAATAAACAGCTGAAACCTGAAAGGTCAGCTGTGGTAAATTGAAACGTAACGAAAGCAAGTGGTACATGCATACTTAAGCGTATGCTGTAACAACGTAATACGAAACCAGCGATAGGCAGTGTCTTTCGCCTGGTGGGTTTAAACGAAACGGTTCTGACAGTTTTTCTGTCAGCCCGTGGGTTACACAATCTGGGTGATTTGTCATCCAGTGGGAACTGTGCAGTTTGCTCTTACTTAATCCACTTAGTGGTACGGTATGTAGCAGAAGCACAGAAATACGAAGTAAAGCTTCTGAAACCTTGAAGGTCAGTAGCGTAAACGAAATAATACGAGTAACTTTCTGCACGCAAAGGTGCGTGTAAAGCGGTAATACGAAACAGATCGTTGCGGTGTACTTAATCGACTTAGTGGTACGGTATTGCTGTATTCGGTCGGTGGGTAATACAAACTGGTTGTGTAATCAACCAGTTGAACAGAGCAACTTTTGCTTGCCAAAACCCGTTCAAACGGTACGGTATAGCCGCGGTTGCCTGAAACGCAAATCAAAATGAGTGAATTATCAGACGTAAAATCCGATATGAAGAAAAACAGAACTGATCAGCGTGTTGATGTATACAGAGAGAAGTTAAAGGCCAAAATTGCAGTTAAGCATAAACTAAATTCGCAGTCACAGAACGCAGCGGTTATGTCAGATTGGTGTTCTCGTAATGCCACGGTAATTAGCGGCAGTTCTGGGGAAAATAGTGCCCCATTGGGAGCACTCGTAAATGGTCCTCCCAGTGATGCACAAAACTCGAGCCTTTCTTTTCCAAGTATGCAGTCAGTAGGCGGTACCACACTTTATTGACAAACGACGGCAGAGTACAAATCAATAAACATTTGCAAGTTAACCAAACAATGAAAAAAGCTTAATTATCACAACAGAAAGAGTTCAATAAACTTTTCAACTCCATCCATTGTTCCTAAAACCGAAGCCGCGTTTCCCCGCTGAATCTCCAAGGACAGTCAGGCGGTCAGTCAGCGGTGGCGGTAAATCCATGTCAGGTGGTAAATCCGAATTTATCGGTAAATCCACAATTGGTAACTCCGTCGGCGTCAGTGGTAAACCCGAATTCATCGGTAAATCCACAGCTGGTAAATATGTCAATGGCAAATCCGAAATTATTGGTAAATCCACAAACTGTGAAATCAGGCGCAGGAGCTCATACCTTGAATTCAGTAAGTAATATTTCGGCAACTTCACAATTGTCAGCCGGAAGCAGCACATCCGCGCAGAAAGACATTGAAGATATGTGGGGAAGAAGTAAAATTTTCGTACCGGTCAGTGGCACTAAACCCACCGACAGTGGTAATATTGCAGCACTAAAAGTCATAAGATGGGACGGTAGTCCAGGTACAGAGGTAAGCAATCTCTTACTTAATCTCGATAATCAGACTGAGCTGGAGCAAGGCTCGAGTCAAAACAATTACAGTTTAGTGGGTGAAAATTTATTAGATGTTCAAACGGAACTGTTTTTCTCAAATGAAGTACAGTTAAGGCAGATTGTGTATGAAAATAATTATGAACCTTTGCGGTTCGAGTTTCTCCAAGAGGTGAGGCAGGTCGAGCAAAGGCTCCGTAATTCGCTGTCTGAGTACGATGTAAGTTCTGTTGTAAGTAAAAATGCAGGCACATTAATACGATGTTTGAAAGGTTTCGCGGCTGTGTATCAACAACAGCTTAATGCTCAGGTTGAAGTCAGTAAATTAAACGATATGGTCAGCAGTTTAAATAACGAAAAAGAATTTCTACAGTCGGTGGTGAATGGTTTTAAAATGGAAAAAGAATCACTCCATGCTAATCTAAATACTACAAGCCAGTATTTAGAAACGGCTATGGCAAATAATGAATTAATTTTTCAAAAATTGAAAGAGGTGTCACGAGATAATGCTTCTCTGGAAAAGCTCAACAAAGAGCTTGAGCGAGATTTTATTGAGGCAATGGAAGAATTTTCTGAAAGCGAGTCTCTGAATGAACTTAAATCATTGGAAAATGAACAGTTAAAACTAAGTTTAGCTCAGGAAAAAGAGCTAAGGCGTCAGGCAGAACATGATCGAGAAAGGGCGTTAAAAGAAAGCCAAAGTTGGCAAGACAAATGTTTTCAGAAGGACAGATACTTTAAGGATGTTGACATGAAAATGAGAGAGTCTATGCGCAGGTCCCAGCAAGATATGGATAATTTGTTTAATCAGCTTAATCAAAACCACGTCTTTGGTCAAGTAACTTATGGCGGTAATGAAAAGCTTTTCGGAGCAGACAGACCATTGAGCACAGCGAACACAATATTCAGTCGGTCGCCGGTAGTTGAAAATACCAGGCAGTCAGACTCTTCGGGTAAAAATTCGTTGGAAGCGATGAATGTAAGTAATATCTCGCAGCTAAATTCTGTAAAAACCCCATTTAATGGAAGTACCGGCGCATATAAAGTTTGCGGGGGTGAATTTTCCCCGAACGGTGGTAGTAAAGTTTGCGGGGGTGAAACTCTCCCGGTTGGCCAGTTGGAATCACCTGTGGAAAGGGAGAACGTACCTAAGCAGTACGGAGTACAACCGAATCGGTCAGTACCGGGTATTGAGACCCAGGTCAAGGAAGTAAGATTTCAAGTGAAAAATAATGAAGCAATCGAGCGGATAAATCAGCAAAGGACACAGGTCGGTCATAACGCAGCACAGCACAATAATGCAGTCGAAGACGGAAATCGTCCGAATCAGGTAAGAAGGTCACGTGATGACCATGTTTTACAGCAGGTAAATGGAACTGCAGATACTGGTGAATTTTCGGAAATAATGAAATTGATACAGAGTGTAAATAAAAATTGTTCTGATCGTAATGAAATAATGAAATTACAGTCGTATAGCGGTAAAACGAAATCTGGTTCAGTACGGAATGGCTTTTACAAGTCGAACAGTGTCGTACTTGTAATGGCTGGAATGATAATATGACATGTCGCCAAGTATTAGCCGCTCTGGAAGGCAATGCAGTTGTGTGGTTCCAAAATTTGATAAGAGATAAACCAAATGAATCTTGGGAAAATTTTTATAAGAAAGAAATTTTGGAACATTTTAATGACTCGTTCACGTCGCAAGAAATAAGGCGAGAAATGTCAGCTCGAAAATTCAGTGAAAATGATACAGTGGACAGTTACGTGGACAGTTTTATACTGTGGTTTGAAGAATTGAAATTATCATAGGAGGAGAGAGTCAGTATTTTGTTAGAGGGATTGAACCCGAACAAGCTTGACTGGTATGAAAAATTGTTTCTGAGGAAAATTGTTAATCAGCATAAGTTAATTCAAGTAATGCGTGACTTTTATTTATGTAGTTTATTTCCTAAACGGCTAAGGCTTTTAAACACGGCGTTCTGAAACGGCAAATTGGTAGGCTAACGGCATTTCGGCGGCAAAGGTAAAGTCAAAGGTAAAATTGTAAAAGCCAAACTGAAACGGCAAAGGCAAATGGACGGCAAAGGCGAAGTTGGCCGAGCTTCTTTTACCCAAAGCCTCTAATGCAAGAGAATTGCACCAAACCAAAAGAAAACGGGAAAAAACAGAACTGGGAGGTGGGCTGTAAGGCTGGCCGGTCTTAAACCTTTCTGCAAAGGTCATCAACTTTTCCATAAAAGTCATCAACCTTCGTAGAGGTCATCAGCTTTTCTGCCAGCGGTGTCCATTGATCTTATTGTGCTCATTGTACTGCTATTCCTTGCGCGACACAATTATTTCACCACTCGGTAAGACATATTATTGCGACCAAGTTCGTACTTCGTACCTCGTGTCTGCATGTTCGACCATACCATAATTAAGCTGTTCAAGTGAAAAGCGACAGCCATCGTAACAGCTGTGCACAAAAACTGTTTGCGGGGGCGTATTCGAAGCTTTATGAATGGATGCCGCCACAGGTTCGTTTCCCTTTTTGCAGTTTTGTCGTTAAATAGGGCAAAGTACTTTTTTATCGTTTTTAAATAAAATTTTGAGTTAGGGATGAGAAAACTCGCCACCGGTTAATCGTAAAATGGCGCACTTTGTAATATTTTCACATGGCGCAGAGAAATCAATGGAAAAAATAACAAGAATAAATGATTAATTATGGATTCTTGATGTACATTACGAGTACTGTAAATACGGTCAGTGCTTAGCATGTCGGCTGCTCACTTGCGAGTTCTTCTTTCCAGTCGCTTCTTTTGCAGGGCCTTTTCGTGGAAAATTCTTAAGTGGTTTCAAAAGAATAGAAATAAGACTATATAACTAACAAATAAATATGTTACTAACCTGCAGTTCTGCAGACTGCAAGCGTTTTGCATTTGGTTAACCATACACGTATTATTACACGCAATTTTTTAAATGTGAGTAGAAGAATGATGTGACCTGGAGATCGCAGTAACAATTGACTTATGCTTGTTAGTCGCTCGCAATTTCGGGGGGCATCGAATGAAGTTGGCTGAAGTGTGCCGGTTTTCGTGAAGTCGTACGAAGCTGGCTCTGATGGTACATTTTTCACTGGTGCCAGAGCTGCAGTAAACTAGTTACATTACATCCTAGATTGCCGGCTTCTTGTTTCGAAGATTCTCACAATCTTCACGGGTCTCCTCTAGCGCCTGCTGGTGAGCTTTATTGACACAGATGTCGATGACATTGTGAGCGGCGGTTTCCATTTTGTCCAGAACGGCTAACAGTGTGCGCCGGGTCAGCACGTAAGAAAGCGGTGCCACCACCAGCGATCCCAGAAACGGAATGAACTTCAGCAACTCCTCCATTGCCTGGCCGGCTGTCTCGGTAGCCAGCTCCTTGCTGAGGAAGAACACAAAGTCCTTGGTGATGACACCCGGAATGGACAAGGCCACCGTCTCCTCCAGTAGGGTTACATCCACCTTGTGGGTCTGAGCCGTTGACGTCAGCGACTGCTGGTCTAGTCCTAACTGCTGCTGGTAAAACCTGCCTTCGGCTATCACCATCCCGATGTCGAATGCCGTGGATATCCCTACAATATTTTGCGTTTATTTTCGTGCTGCAAAATTGTATAACTACGAAGTGATGGCGTACAGCTTCCGCATGGAGTAACACTAATATCAAGATGATGCTGATAAATCTGACCGTGAGATGCGGTCGGTAAAATTTAAAGGAAATTAGGATTCTGATCTTCATTAACAGAACAGCCAATGGACAGCAGCCACTGTAGAGAAAAGCGATTAACGCTCCTACTGGCGGCACAATCCAGTTTCTTTCGCTACAGTAAATACTTATTCAGGGGAATCAGGGCAATGTTGTCTATGCGGTTCATTATGTTATGACTGTTTGCTCTTTCTTACCAGGCTGCAGACAAGAGCAGCCTGATTGTTCAGATTTAGCGGAAGCTTGGTGTGGCATTTTAAGGGTGCATCTCGCTATAGTGTTTAAGCTGAATCGTACGCAAGGGGGATCAGCTGGGTCGCAACTAGACTCTGGAAATCTCCGCTTCGGTTTAAAATTAAAGCGCGATGGCACAACTACGAATCTAGAAGCAAAAGAATCTAAGTAAACTTAGAAACTAAGAAAACCAAAAAGAACTAAGCGGCTAGAAAAATTATACTTTCATTAACGAGACCATTACTATGACCACTACTAATAGATTACCACCAGCAGTGCCACTCCCACTATGCAAACCACTACCAGTACCAGTAACGATAACTATGTCAAATTACCCGGACATATACATACCTGCGCAGCTGCTGCGCAGTAGTACATTAATGCACATCCCGCGCTTTTATAGCCTGCACAAACTATTCCGCGACTTACCTGGTATCGGTAGGAGACCGACAACACCGGATGCTAACGCCATCTTCCATATACGACCACGCAAAGCGTCGACCTTTTTCTGTAGGATTTTCTTGCTGAGCATGCCCATGGGACTGAGGGAGTACAGAAAGGCCTCGCGTTTCAGATCCGGCAAGGCCGTTAATAAAGTGTCTTGAAGCTTGCAAAAGTCAAATTTGGCCGGCTGGTAACTGTCGATGAGAAAGATATTATCCTGTTCGGCATCTTTTAATTCCAGTTTCGTTACAATATCCTTGCGGACTTTCTGCAAGATCTCGTCGTCCGATTGACCAACGGTTGATCTCGGATGGGATGTGCGCTGTTTAAACACGTCAACACCGCTTTGAGTGCGCACATAAAAGAATCGCTTGCCGAGCTTCCCAATCTCTGCCGCCAGCCACTGGTCGTCGTCGGTGAAGCGGCTACTGGATAGGAGCAGATAAAAATCATAGCGTTTAAAGCCAATTTTCTCCAGATACGTTCCCCGTGGGAATTTCGGAGTACCCACACCGGGACAGTCCCAGTACAGCAGCAGGGCATTGTCCGGATGGGCGTAGGAGCGCACTTCCTCCGTGCACTCCACAATATCCACCTGTGCGCCTTCTTCGTCTTCCGCGGTAATATTGCGACTGCAGTTAATGTAGCTGGACTTGCCGACTCCGCTCTGGCCAATGACGGCGATATTCAGTGGCACAGTCTTCCATCGCTCATTATGCTCCTGCAAGATGCGGGCGAATCCAGCTGCTCCGCCCAGCTGGTAGGCTTCTTCAATTTCCTTCGTGTCGTTGGAACAAAAATCGGCTGCTGTTGGTTTTTCCCAGTTAGTTTCGCCCGCCATATTTTTACGAGGAGAAGAAAATGCAAAAGTAATTACGATGAGACTAAGACAGTACGGAAAAGTGCATTGATTAGCTGCGTTACGCATAAGAAGTACCGAATTGGACTGCGCAACTGAGCAGCGGTTTGTATTTGGCTGGCAGCCTACTTTTGACGCAAGGGTTTTGACTCATCACACAGTACGATCGTACAAGCATCCCGGACAGTAATAGAACAATTCACCAAAAGCAGCAATCAGAATATTGCGGCACTGTCATCGGATAAGCGGTCGTCGCTTGGAACGAAAGTAGCCCAGTAGCCGATAAGCTGTTGTATCTTTTTAGGTAGGGCTCGATAGTATACCAATGATGCAATGCGAAGGATTCTTCTACGGTAAATATTTATAAGACAGTTTATTATAATTGTGGCTAGCGCTATCTTATCTCCACACCTTTTGGAAGTACACGCCGGCGCCTCGGTTCTTCATACCCATATGGCAAAAAGAAATACTGACCGAGCAAGCAACTTCCTCCGTTTGTCAAGCATTGTCACACCTTTTTTTAACTTTGCGTTCTTTACATTCGATATGGGTCAATATTACTGATCTGTATTCTGTCAGTAATACTACCTATAATCTGTACTACAGAGCGGTGCAGAATATAGACAGTACCGTATAATACAAAAGATGTGTATTTTGCTTTTAAATTAGCTGAACGGCAATGATGTCAAGGAACTTTATTATTTTTGCGCGATGTAATTCAGTGGAAACCCATTAAAAATTTCGAAAGTACCGTTTTTCATGGTGGTAGTTAATACAATAATTACCAGCATGGATAAAAAGTGTCTCTTAATTTCGCGATCATGCAGTACTTAATTGTTATGGTCGTTTTCAAGACGATTATGGCTACCGGACGCCGAAAAAATCTCAGTAGAAGTTGCTAGTATTGCTAGACCTTTCTTAAGGATTCCACAAATTAATAATCATTTTGCAGGCACCCCGTGTTAGTGGTATCGTTTGTTTACTTGTTTACTACTTTGAGAACTGTTGATGTGTCTTGGCTATAGATTCCCTTGTCCGGTTTGGCCGTCTCCGTTTGCCGATCGGTAGCTGAATATTAGTCAGTCAACAGATTATATATTCTTGATATACAGACATGAAAACTGGTGACCAAGCGTCCATGCAGAGCTCGCAAAATTATTGCAGTATTCGCGTTCATTTAAAAACTCGATGGCTGTAATCTATGGTTTTCTCGCCAACGACGATTATGACAGTGTGTGCACAGATGCACGTTAATATCTTATCAGTCTCATCATGTCATGCACAATCCTATTAGCCGTCTTCGCAAATTGTGGATAAAAGACCATGTAAGCGCACAACGACACAATATGTTGGGAATGAAATACCAGCACCAAAATCGCATATGCCGATCTCTGGCTGTTTCCCGTCCAACGCAGTAGCGCGATTGGAAACTGCCACAGCGCCGCCGACACCACAATAATCGATCCAGCGATAACCATCCGAAAGGTCACCGGCAGAGATTTCTTATTCCCCAGAGATTTACCATTATTCCCATCAACATATTATCTTTAGATCTGCGACGAAAAGTTCGGTATTTCCTCCCAAACCTTCTGCCGAGATTTTGTGGCGATCCAAATAATTCGCGCCTGTGAAACGCCAGCTAAGAGAATGGTTACAATCAGTCCGCCTACCACGCAATCGGCAAACCACGTCGCACGATAATCAAAATACGCCGTGGAACTGCAAGGCGACACGACCAGTTGCCTGAAGGTGGCGAACATGGCGGCATTGAATACGATGCAGTATGTCCAGATGGCGAACAGTATACCCGCGATGGTCGAATAACTGATACGATTTCAATAACAACGGGGAATTCCACTGACATCCAGCGATTCAGACTGATACAGCCGATATGCGCGTTGTAGCATCACGCCGAAATACGTGTCGGCCACACCTAGTTGGTACCGCAGTTGGCTGAGATGCCGTGGTTCGATAATGTGGGATATGGCTGCGATGGGGAGTAACAGGAGGAAAATGGATTCCGCTAGAGAGAGCGTAAAGTGAAGGTAAACGAAGAGTTACTAGTTTTTCCACGCATTTGACCGATTATCGAACGGGAGCGGGTAATCGGTTCAAGTGTGAACGAGGCGAAGTGCGAGCTGTACATCTGCGGCGGATAAAATAACACAGAAAGAAGTTGTGGTTGGATTTTTGGTAAAGTATCCCGGTTTACACGTTTTAACAAGTGCGACATTGTCCAGCTATTGTGGAGAAAGCCGTTACGTTAACGATGGTATCAGCATGACTGGCGCTCCTGCCACGTCACCACGCCGTCTTCCTTCTTAAAGGTTATCGGTGCCCTTAAGAGTGTTTATATGTTGCAGTGTCCCACCTTGTGGCGTGGGACAGTGGCACACATGTCACGAGAATGTGTTGTTCTTTAGTGACCTCTGTGTGTTGTTCGTCCAGCATGGCAACTGCGATAGCAGCATGCCCTTGTTGTCCTGTTGACAACAATCAGTTGGTTGTTTGTACTCTCAGTGGCGGTTCATAATAAACTTATTATGCCGCCACCTCAAGTCGTGACACAACTCATGGAAGCAACCACAACTTCCTTATCAGATTGACGAAGTCATGCGTGAGTGTTTTCAGACTTCATGCAATGTCCCGTGTCCGGACGAAAAAAAACGACTACCCTTGCTGGAGGAAGGCGACTCTCCCGCTGAGCAGAGGCGGCGTTTTCATTCGGCGTGCGAAAAAATTCATCATCGAGGAAATTACCGATGTGTACCGAGGGCGAGGCGTTTAACCAGATGCCAGCTTCCGGTGTCGATTGAGCAAGGAGGCGGGTTCTGCTAATTTCATCTTTGCGAAAAACGCTAAACAGTGCTGAAAGCGATTCGTTGCAGATCGAAACATCCCACGCTCGCTGCGACATTTGAAAATTCGGTTTGAGGAGGCTCAGCTGACCGCTTTTTGCATTCCAGAATTCCCGTGCGTTGGTGGCATCCATGAGCGGGTGACCGGAAAGCAGCAGCGACACTAATCTGGATGCAGAAGGAATCGAAGCCCAATCGGCTGGGAGAGCTACCACACTGAACATTTCTTTCTGGGCTTAGGCTGGGCGCAGTTATCTATGAAACACACTTATGTGCTAAATACCGCAAGCAAATTGACGTGTGCGGCCACGACGGACTGTGTCGCAATGTAAAGATCTCTTGTAAGCGCCACTTGTGTGCTACCTGTGCAGGTTGACGGTGACCTTTACGTGTTACCTATGTGTTCCCTATAAGGATTAGGCAACGCACCTGTATGATAGTGACCTTTATTAATATCACACACTATGCCCACTATAGCGATGCTTATGCTAAAAGCTAGCTATGCCAGGGAAGGCTTGCAATGGACTGATAGTCTGCTGGTAGTGATAGTCCGTCACTTAACAAGCCCCCTTCGGCAGCCGCGGGATCCGCCACTGCCCAGGCCGTAGACAGGATGACCAGTCTGTATCCGCCTCTTGACGGCAGATACATTTTCGCGTTGTTAGCCTTCGAAACAATCGGGCCATGGGGACCGTCGGCATCCGCTCTAGTGAAGGAAGTCGGCAAGCGATTGCAGCAGCACACTGGTGAACCTCGATCACATGAATTTTAAGACCTGTGTAACTCTTCCTGCCATCGCGTTGGTCGTTTCGCTTCCAGCAGACAAATGTACAATGCAAAAAAACTAAAGCACTTAAATTCTTACTGAAAAATTTTGTGTCGCCAAAAGCACAGAACATTTTGTTAAGAAAATTCATGGGCTCAAAAAACTGTTGGAATTCCATGCAAATTGTGCGCGCAAATTATGTGTACATGACAGTACGCCTTCGTATTCGATTAATTTTCAACTTTTTTGACCTGTTGCTTTGAGAATTCCACCTGGACTCATTTGTAGTAGTGTTTACGGCTGACTAGTAATGTAATGTACAAGTTTAGTTGCACAAGAATACAGAATGTGTAACTTTTAATCACACCATTTGTATACTTTGACGGAATATCCGGTTGTGATAAGCTAGGTCAAACAAGATTCCATAAAATTAAATGCAAACAGGTGTACCGCGTATTCATACAGTATGTATATGCTACGGCGAAGACCACGAAATGTTTTGCCAGCTAGAAAGAATTGCTTCACAAAACAAGAACGATACACACATTGTTTCTGGTAGAAGCGGCTTCAAGTGCCTAAGTTCATAAAACCATAAAGTACGCAAAACTGCGCCTACAATCCATTCAAAAAACAAGAGCTTATATAAAAAGGCATAAAGACGATAAAAAGCGATGATTTTTACAGCTCAAACGCTCGCAGCGACGCAGTAAGACCAGTTAATGTTTAGATAAAGATACCTAACAAATAAGACAGAAAAAATTCAAGCTAAATAAATAAGCAGAGGATGCACTAGATTACAGTTCAGAATGTCGGCTTCTTATTTCTGAGGTCTTGACAATCTTGACGGGTCTCCTGGAGCGCCTGTTGATAAGCTTTCTTGACGCAGATGTCGATGACCTGGTTGGCGGCGGCTTCCATCCTGCCGAGAATGGAAAGCATTGTACGCTGGGTCAGCACGAAAGAGATTGGCGCCCCCAGCAGTGATCCGACAAACGGGATGAACTTGAGCAGCTCTTCCACCGCCTGGCCAGCAGCCTCCGTCGACAGTTCCTTGCCAAGGAAGACCACAAAGTCCTTGGTGATCACGCCTGGAATGCACAAAGCCACCGCTTTCTCCAATATGGCCAAATCTACTCCATGTGTCTGGGCCATTGTCGTCAACGACTGCTGGTCCAGGCCGAGCTGTTGCTGATAGAAGCGGCTCTCACTTATTACTAAGCCGATGTCGAATGCGGCGGACATCCCTGTAATGCTTTGGCGTTATCTTATTTTCGAGAAATTACTGAGCTTAGTGAACCTATCAAGAGAGCAGGTATTTGGTAGAATTATCGGAAGCCGGCTACACCGTTTTTAATTTAATTTCGTAGCTAGCTTATGTCTACTCTGCACGTATAGTATCGGCACACGGATCGATCATTGTGGCGTAAATGTCGGCACACCGATCGAGCACCTGCGCGGTTTTTTTGGTAATTACCGTTATTTAGCACAATTAACATTTACCTATATTCTTACCTATATGGACCGTAGTAGCGTTACTACGGTCCATAGTTAAGAACATCGGCTGTATTTGTATATGTTGGACAATACATTGTCATTAAGTAATAAGTTATGACTTGCTGTTTGTGCGAAAGCGAAACTCTTACCCGGTACTGGTAAGAGGCCAGCAACACCGGAAGCCAGTGCCGCTTTCCATACACGGCCTCGAAGAGCTTCAACCTTTTTCTGGAGGATTTTCTTGCTGAGCATGCCCATAGGATTGAGGGAATACAGAAAGGCCTCACGCTTCAAATCCGGCAAAGCAGTCAACAGCGTGTCTTGCAGCTTCCAGAAGTCAAACTTGCCGGGTTCGTAACTGTCGATGAGGAAGATGTTCCCTTCTTCAACCTTGAACAACTCCAACTTCTTGATAATATCGTCGCGTACTTTCTGCAGGATCTCGTCATCGGACTGACTAGCCGTTGTCCTCGGATGGGATTTACGCTGCTTATCCACGTCCACACCGCTCTGCGTGCGCACGTAAAAGAATCGTTTGCCGAGCCTTCCGATCTCGGTCGCCAGCCATTGGTCGTCGTAGGTAAAGCGACTGCTGGACAGGAGTAAATAAAAATCGTAACGCTGGAAGTCAATGTTTTCCAGATACGTTTCTCGTGGGAATTTCGGGGTGCCCACCCCGGACAATCCCAGTACACTAGCAAGGGGTTGTCGGGATGGGCGTAAGGCCGCACTTCCGCCGTGCACTCCACAATATTGACCTGCGCGCCTCCTTCGTCTTCCGCGGTGATATTCCGACTGCAGTTAATGTAGCTGGACTTGCCTACGCCGCTCTGGCCGATGACGGCGATGTTGAGCGGCACGGTTTTCCAACGGTCATTGCGCTCCTGCAGGATGCGGGCAAACCCGACGCGGCTCCACCCTCCCGGTATGCTTCCTCGATTTCCTTCACGTCTTCTGGACAAAAATTGGCCACTGCCGATATTTGCGAATTTTCTTCTTCCGCCGTGTTTATACTCGTAAGCAAAGACAAGCTTTCCAAAATTTGATTCATTTTACAAGAACTAAGAACGCATAATATTAAAACGGTATTAGGACACAAATGCCGCAGAGTTGTGACAGGAATATATCGCTGTTCTCCTTTATAAGGATAGTGTGTGCTTACTCACCATGCCGAAAGACTGTATTCTTGTACTCTGTAGGAGTCATCATAGAAGAAAGATAAAATGAACAACGACACCGCATAACCAGGTGTGGCGTGAAGTACCGTCGTTTCGACAGAAAGTGCTGTAGAGCAAACAGTTGGTAAACTATTGTGCTACAGTCTGTACATTCCTCACCAGCTAGCTGGCTTAAAAATTGGCAGTATGGTGTATTGTAAATGAGCCTTTTGCTGCAATAGCCGTAATAATTTGGGTTCGCTATGTTCTTATCGGTGTTGTACAGATAGCTACCGCCGTACTGCGCTTTGTATGACTAACGTCCGGATTTTGACATCCATATCAATTGTAGAAATGATCGATGGATTTTAACTCGCCAAAGGCTATTTATTCTATGTACTGTAACTAGCAGATTACATGGTTCGGAATTCGGTGTTGATTTATTGACATCGGGATACGAGAAGTTGTGTAGCAGAGCTCCCCGACGCTATAATTATTCATATCAGCTACAGGAAATTGGAGAAGGTAAGGCAGCGAATCGATCGCTGGGGAGCTTCTGAACTTTCACTCCTAACTGCATTTTCACTTTCATGTGCGCAGAAATCCAGAAATAAAAAAAATCATAAAATGAGCGTAGAGCCATGAAGACAAGAAAACCACAAATTCGACAATGTTTGTCTCTGGAAATTAACTGCCGCATCAGTGCTTGAGGCCAGAGAAGAAGCGGAGATGTAATCGAGGCTATGTTGTAATAACCCTGCTTGGCCGTTATATTGGTCATATATAACTAGCTAAGTAAGAAAATAATTCTTAAACGTGTAAGAATCCTTTGATTACACTACCACACAGCCGCATCAGTCAACCCCAGATACAAACTTGGCGGTTCTTTTTTCAAAAAGTCTGTACTTCCTAGTAAGTCTGTAGGTCTGTACTTCCTAGTGTACTTCCTATTCAGGCGAGCGACCACTGTCAGACGTCGTGTGGTTGCCATGACCTGTGCCCTGAAGGGCTGAACCAGTTGCCGACGTCCAGTGTGTTCCCATTCGCATAACTTTATTGGTTTTTAAGTTGCCGCAATAGCTGATGCACAACGTGCCCGTATGACCAAATCCCAGTAGTTCGGTTGTCAGAGCTCATCGTGGAGCACTAGCGGTTTGAAGACTGTGGGATACATTCAGGATATTGATTCATCGTGGTGACCTTTATGGTATCTGTCATGTAGTTCGTTTACTTTGCTATATCGTTCAAATATCATCATGGGTGACGGCGATACTAACAACGAGAACGAAGATGTATCCAAGTTCTCATTTGTCGAACTGACTAATGTTTTGTCCCATATTCTGGAAGAAGTATACAATGTGTCGACCAAAACCTCCAATGTCGGAAAGGTTCTTGAAACTCACAAGGATGCGCTGATGAAAATCCCGTCCCTATTGAAGGATCACTACATCAATCTGCAAACGGAACTGATTGCCGAGAAAGAGCGCAAGATTCAACAGCTGATGTCAGTGAAGCCAAACCCGTCTGCTACTACGTACGCCGCCGCTGCTGCCACAGCACCCAAGCAATCGGTAACAAAACATGTACTCCTTCTGAAACCTAAAGAGAACAACGTCCCGAAAGATTCACGACTGAATGCCAACGAAATGGAAAGCCTCAGACAGACTTTGAATCGGACCATGCCTGCTAAAGAGCAGCCGTTCAAACCCTCCGGTATCCGCACAGGTGCAGGTAAGGCAGTGGTAATAACATTCGACAGTGCAGAAGAAACCGAAGCCGCACGGGTTGAATTTGAAAAACATCAGGGTGAGATTGGCATGCGAGTAACGAAACCGAAAAACCCGAGAATGATCGTGCGCGGCGTACCTAAATACCACACAACCGATAGCTTTCTGGACGAAATCAGGACTACCGGTCTGTCGGAGAAGATCAGGGTAATAAAAAAGTTGCAAAGCCACCGAGATGACGTAGGAACATGCGCTTTTGTTATCGAAGTCGACGAAGAAACACGCTGTATTCTTCTAAACCGTGGATTTGTAGGGATTAGTTGGCGCTCGTGTAAAGTTACTGATTACGTACACATAGTCCAGTGTTATAAATGTTGTGAATTCGGCCATATTGCAAAAAACTGTGCAAGTCAGCGCGCTGTATGCGGAAAGTGCGGTAGCGATCACGACACTAAACAATGCGACAAAACGGAGGCTTTCGTGCCTGTGTGCAACAACTGCATCAGTAATAACTGTGTGAAACCTAACAATCCCCATACTGCATTTGATTTGAAGAAATGTGCAGCAGCCGACATTTACCGTCAAAAGGTCACGCGTGTTTTCTTCCGCTCAAAAAACTGAGCAGAACAACTGATCAGACAGATTATAATTTTTTTGAAAAAGTTTTTCAGAATGTCATGAATTTGAAAATTCAAGACGTACCTAGTGTAGGTCTCTGTGAAGTTCAAAATATTTTAACAAAAGCTGAGTTCTGCGAACCAAATTCAGCAGCACTCGGACACAGTTGTTCTTTTGACATCTGCAGTCCCACTCCGATAACGATGCTCCGAGAAGTACCTATTGCATCGACATACATTGCCAAATTTACGGATCCTAGCGATAAGCTTAACGAAAGACGGATAGTAAGAACAGTAGAAAGGTCAGTTGCGCAATTGCTGTCGGAACCGAAAACAACAGTAGAATGTGAGCCAATCAGGCGTGAATCGGAGTTGAATGTGGTTTGCCCTAACAACCAAGTCGATAATGCTAGCGTTCCTGTTCGGAGTATCGATAGGGATGATTTGATTGCCGCACTACCTGATTTCTCACAGGATTTAACTGTTAGCACGGGGAAGATACAGAATTGCAAAACTGCTCTTTTACGAATTTTCTATCTGAATGTCAATGGCCTAAAACGGATTTTGGAGAACGTTTATGAGGAATTCACATCACTGATTTCGAAATTTGAAATAATTGTACTAGTGGAAACCCACTTGAAAAAAAACGAACCAGTTTTCCAGTTAAACGGTTACAGCTCAGTGTCCAAAAGTAGAGCATCGTTTGGAGGAGGAGGGATTGTGGTGTTCGTTCAAGAGCCACTGACAATTTCTCCTAAACCTTGCGCTATGGAACATGACGATGTTCTTAATGTAATCATCCATCATCCAACGTCGATCATTCAGGTGAACATGATGGCAGTGTATATCCCACCGACTAACTCATGTCTGCACCCTGAATCTAAAAATTATTTTGACGTAATGCATGAGATGGCAGCACGATGCACCGAAAATCAGATTTTCGTGCTGTGTGGTGACTTGAACGGAAGGATCGGCGAAAACTGCCCTTTGATGTCAGAACCAGTTTTTACTACAGATAATTCAAAAATTGATTACATTAACCTCTCAAACGCAGACCAACAGATAAATTCGCGTGGTAAAGAAATTATAAAATTTTGCAACACCTTTTCTTTAACCCCTCTGAACGGACTGAAATCTTTCGGCAAAAATTTTCCATCAGCCTATACGTGTCACACTTATTGCGGAATGTCGGCTGTTGACTACGTTCTTGTACAACAAAAAGATGTCAGCTATTTTCAAGACTTTGCCATTTCTGACGAAAGTCTTTCTGACCACCAACCGCTCCTCGTTAACATCAGTATTCCATTATCAGCAAAAAGCTGTCCCTCCAAAAAAAGTAGATATCGGAAGTCGGTGCCGGTCAGACACAGCCACCAAGATGAACTTGCAACGTCATTTGTCAGGGACACGGTTAACAACGTCTTGGCGGTGACATGGAACACCGAAAATGTCACCTCCGGCGCTTACTTTGATTTTCTCGTCGAAACAGTAGCAAGCAGGCTGAAGGAGTACAGTGTCGAACGCCCTGATAATAAGTTACACAGAAATCATTCAAATAGAGAAATCGCAAATCTTCGTCACAAAAAAACGAAACTGTGGAAAGAACTGAACGGAATAAAGAATATCGACCAAAGACGTGCTGTAGCGGAAAAGTTTTATAACATGCGTCAAAGATACCGGCAAAAACTACGAGAAATGAACGCAGAATCGAACCAGCGAATATGGAAAGAAATCGAAACACTCCGTCACTCGAACCCAAAACATTTTTGGTCCTTTCTCAAACCGCTTCGTGCAGACTGCCCCAAACCGAATGACTTAATATCGATGGATCAGCTTCTCGCCTTTTTTCCAACTTTCCTAAAACCAAGAATTCTTCCTTATGCAGTTCATGCGAAATGTCTCCTTCTATCCCGATATTAGACGACCCGATTAATGTTCTTGAAATTTTGAACGCGGTATCGAGATTATCGAGCTCTTCGTCCAGTGGTCAGTTATCCCGTAACCACAGAGCGTTTCAAGCAACTCACCCAAAACGAAAAATTCCTTCAACTCCTATGTGTAACCTTCAACTCAGTTTACAATGGTGCACTGTTTCCTCCTTCGTGGTTGATAGGTACGATGTCACCAATACCGAAAGCCGGTAAACCGGTATGCGCCCAAAACTGCCGGCCAGTTGTTGTTGAAGTTTTGCCTATGCGTATTTTGTCGACGATACTTGCAGATCGTATTGATAAATGGGCGGACATCAACGAGGACCAGGGAGGCTATCGTAAAGGTAGAGGTTCGACAGACCATGCTTGGTTGTTACATACAATCTGTGAAACACAAGTTGTTCAGGGCAAAGAGGTATACGTTGCATTTCTTGATTATACTTCGGCATTTGATACTGTAAACCACGAAAAGCTTTTCAGGAAACTTGAAAAGTCGGGAGTGTCGCAGAAAATGTTGCGTTTTTTAATGGCCATGTACGAAGGCAGTAAAAATCGCATAAAATGGGGTGGCGAAATGTCTGCAACGTACCCTCTAAGTAGTGGTGTGCGTCAAGGCAATCCCCTTTCAGGAGTGCTTTTCGATATCTACATCGACCCAATCACGGACTATGTTGCAAAAGGTCGAATTACTTCTATCAAATTAGGGAATAAGCAGGTATATTTGTTGAAATATGCTGATGACATCGTCCTGATCGCAGTAACCAAATCAGAGCTACAAATTTCAGCAGACAGAGTGGCTCAATTCTCTGTCGATTTTGATTTGTTGCTTAACATTAGCAAATCGTTCACTATGGTAATAAAAGGTGCGAGAAGATCGGAATTCTTTTTTGAACTTAAAATTCAAGGCCAGCGCATTGAGCAGGTAAAAGAATTTAAATATCTCGGTCTCGTTTTTAACGAAAATTTATGTCTAAACAAGATGTCTGAACACCGTATAAACAGCTGTGAGAAAGCCTACTTCAGTGTAAACCAGCAGCTTGCGAATCTACGACCAGGATATACGTTT